TAGTTCTGAAGACCGGCTAGGCAGGGAAGATACTAGTTCTCACTCTAGAGTTCCCTCGATTCCCTCCACTTGGGGCTTTAACCTGTCACTTTAAAGTCCTCTAACTCAACACTCATCAATAAATATTTTTCTATTTATTTGCACTCAATCAGATGAACTACATTCTCATTCATAAAACCTCATGTAATTCTTTCTAATTGTTGACTGAGACAATACCAGCCCGGTTCTTACATGTTCTCACAACAAATTTTAACATCTGGATTGGCCAAATCAAGAAGTAAATGAAGTGCATGAGTTTAAATCATCACAACTTCTTCAATAAATAAAAATTAATACTCTCTACAACTTCCATCCAAAACTTAATTACTTATCATTTTAAGAAGAAAGATAAGGAAAACTACTCATAATCCATGGAAAAAACAAAATCATACTTTAGTTTAAAAGATGAAATCATTGTCAAACCAACAACAAGTCTCAACTAAAACCAAAAGTAGTCTCAAAATGAAAAGATAAAAACTTATCTCAATTTCCTTTCTCAACTCCTCCACCAAACTCTTGAAGTTCCTTTGAATCTTTTTTCTTTTACAATCACTGAAAACATCACTGAAAACAAAATAACAAAAAAAAAAATTGGTTCCTGAAAATCTCTTTGAACTAACTCCCAAGAGAAGAACTTTCAAAACTTGCCAAAGAAGAACTTTCAAAACTTACTTTCAAAACTTGCCAATATTTTTAGGACTCTTTGCTAAGTCCTCTCTTCTTTCTTTAATAGCTTTCCAAGAGGTGCCTTGGGATCTTCAAAATGTGTCTTAAATCGATGTATTTGCCCAAGAGATGCATCCTTTCATGATAATTTTTGTCCAAGGTGGTTACAACCACCTGGTTACAACCACCTATTAAGCAAGCTAATGGGTGTCTCAAAAACCTCTTCAAAATTCATGAAAACCAATTTTACTCGTCTAGTAACTGCCACTGGCGCTTAAGCGTGGGGTCTCGGTGCTTAGGCGCGACCTTCTCTGTTTAACCAGCACTTAAGCATCGGATCTGACACTTAGGCGCCAAAACTTATTTGCACAATTTTGCACCTTTTTACTTTAAATT